GGGCTCCTGGCATCGCTACTAGGAGCAAAGACGCTACTAGGGATCGCAATTCGACCATCCCCTCCCAGCCCCACGACGCCGTCCAAACGAGTGTCCATCCCTCTGAGCCGTCGTCATTCCACTCGCAAATCCGCCCTGTCCTGGAAGAGAACACTTGGCGTATTGTTTCTAGTAGTAAGGCCCTTGTTACTAGTAGTAAGGCCAGGAGCCCCTAGTAGCATCCTCGGTCCATGTGAAAAGACGTAGCGAATTTGCAAAAACGTGTCGTGAACTTAGCTCGTGAACAAACTTCAGGTCATGAGAGCTCATGAGCTTTATGAGGATCTGTCAGGATTTACGTCGTCCACCAACATCAACTTTGTCTATACAGTTCAATGATGTTATATCTAAAAGTGACACATGATCTACATGTCTGGCTTCATAAGACCCCGAATCCCAAGTGAAAGCATGTGAAAACAAGGGCGAGAGACATCCTCACAGTCCTTGGGGCCCAATCCACCAACCATCGCCTGGGAACATCGTCTCTAGACCTGCACATCTCGACAAACAAAGCTATCCAAGCTGAAGCAACTAACGACAAAGCTGGTAACGACGCTTGTGTAAAGATTTTGCGTGGCCTCAAAGAACATAAGTACGCAAAAGAAGTCCATGCAACTTGATTGGCCCTGTTGGGGTGATCAATTGGATTTCTGGGAGATGCCTAAGCAACCGAATTTGTCGATTGAATTCCTTGCTCTGCGACACAGAAACAAACACGGCAACTTCCAAGGCACTTTTGGACAACGTGTATGTGCCAATACTCAGAGATCAATGTGTTTACAGAAAAATGTTTAGCAATAAACTGTCATAGCAAGGTAAAAAGACGCTACTGGGGGCTCCTGGCATCGCTACTAGGAGCAAAGACGCTACTAGGGACGTCACAAACTCTGTGACATCTCATCGAAACTGCCGGCCCAAAACCGAAGGGAATTCAGCGATGAGGTGCATGTTCTGGTTGTGACATCCAATCCGGACCACGTTGACACGGAAAACACAAACAATTCGTTTGATATATAATGTTTTGTGGCGATCTTTCTAAAGATTATACATACATATATATATATATATGATGATTCTATATGTATATATAATGTTCGCATATCGGTACGTATCGATTCATATTTTGTTTTTCACCAACTTGTGTCTATCGTGTTCACCAACTTTTTACTCGCCTGGCAATTGCATCGAGCTCCGTCTCCCGCTTGGCAGCCCTTGCAGCCAGTGACGGTTTTTCTGAGTTTCAGTGACGCACTTTTCCTTTGTGAAAAAGAACGTCTGAAGGAGCTCCTGGCAGTACTAGGAGCCAGGGCATTGCTACTAGTAATAAAGGGCATCGCTACAGTAGAAGCGACGCTACTAGCTCAGGCTCTTTGGTTCGTGACCGACCGCACCTCTGGACCTCGCTGTCATCCCTGGCGGTCGACCGTCACGTCGAAGACGCGGCTTTAAGCCACATCGAGTTCTCGGTCAGACACGACCAGTTCGGCTTGGGCTTTGGAAGAACTGATTCGTGGTATGCTACCTTTCCTTTGACACTAGGGTTTTTGTATGCCTTCTTTTCGGACTTTGAGGCCACCACGGATCCTCCTCCTCAAACCTTCCAGATAGCGCAATGAATGTGCTTTGGTAGGTATATAGGAGCTAGAAGATTCCAAAAAGGTCCGGCTGTCTTCAGTTCTTCACAAGCAGCCAGGTACCAAGTACAGGAAAAAAGCAGCTGCTGTAGTGCTCAGTTCGATTCCGAAAACATCACGAATAGTTGAATAGTTCAGTTCTGTCCGCGAATTCTAATGAAACGACCTGCATGATTGCCACTGAAAGCCCATTAGGATAATTAGGATAATTACGACTCTCCAAGCGAATCTTTCAACAGCTCTGACGTGACGCTTCACTGTAGCACAGCTGGAACATGCCTTCTTGGCTTGGTGTCGGGTTCCGTCCTCAGGACAGAAAAAACGACCACAAGAGGCTGGCACGGCCTCATTCAAATGTTGGGATGATTTGATGAATTGGTACAAGGTTGAGTCAAGGCTAATTTGCACAAAAAACGTGTCACAAAGCCACACCTTCGATTTGGGTCCAGATTCAATGGATGACACCTTCAGCGGTGATAACATGTGATCAGTGATAATCTCTGAACCAGCTTTCCTTGTGAGTTCCCTGTCATAAATCCGGATGTGCCAACGCTCTGTTTTCCCCTAGCATGTTGTCGAGGGTCCTAAATCGAATCATGTCTGGCTGTGTCTCTGAATCAAATTGAAAATTTGGTTAGCAGGTTTCGCCGACAAAGTGACCTCGGCTACCTTGCACGGGTGTTGAAGAAATGTGTTTAGACAAAGCAATTCAGCTGCGAGATGATCTACCGTACCCGCTTTCTGCCGTGGTTTTCAAATCCGTTTTGCTTTTACGCCGCATTGCTTTGTCTTCACCAAGAGGCTTCACCGATGTCTTCACCTCCTCTGGAACCTAGCTGCGGGGCGGAAGGCACACAAACTGAAAGATAAAACAAAAAACAGAATATTCCCTTTGCTCCTAGTAGCTTCTTGTTCCTAGTACGGCCAGGAGCCCCTAGGAGCGTCCTTGCTCCTAGTAGTGATGCCAGGAGCCCCTAGTAGCGAACATGGTTATTCCGTATTTCTGGTGTACTGCAGGAAGTTATGCTTTACGTTTTGTTCATTTTTTGATTTTTTTTGCATCGAAAAACGCGTAGCTGTCCCCCAAACTGCAGAGTGCAATTAATTAGGTTCCCTGTTTGTGCAACTTTGGGAACTCCTTAGGACTCGGCTGCACTTCGGACAAAAACGGGCGGCATAACTCCCCAGATTTTCATCGGCTTACAAGCTGTTTGATCTTGATGTATCATAGTGTCTTAGAATGAATACTATGTTCATAGTAAGAATTTGAGAAAGACTGCTGTGACCCCCACGCGATGTGGGCTTCGGCTGCGGCTCTTCACCGCATCTGCACAGCGAAGCGCTGGGCCTTCGTGAGCCTTACGTGTTCCCCGATCTGAACCGGGTTGGTGACGAAAGCGGTTGAACAATGCGAGAGTGCTTTTACATGAAGCCACATCTCCACACTCCGCGGTTCTCAGATCTCATAAGCATCCTTCAGCAAGCTATTGCAAAAAAGAAGGTCCTGTCCAACCAAAGTGGAGAATGTGGGGAAAGTGTAGGCAAAGCATGTGGCCACTGTGTGAGCGCAAACGATTTGAAGCCGACCTGGAACAGCCTCTAATAGAATCAGCTCTCACATTCCGTACAATCCAGTAGAATCGTTGGACATGGTCGTTGATCGTGCGCCATGTCCCCTGGCACCCAAGGGTCTCCCTGCTCAGTTGCGAGTTCTCTCAACTCTTAACAATTAACTCTTCTCAACCTCAGTTGGACGCCCAAAGCTACCAACATACCCCTCCCGCCCTCTCCCCGTATTGCATACTTACTGGTTACTTTCTTTTTGCAAGGGCCTCAAAGAACATTAACCAAAACCCATCCGTACTGCGATTAAAGCTGGTGTCCTGACCTGTGGTTCGATGCCGATCAAAAAGTTCAGCCATTGCCCCTCTGCCAGCACTGCGGGCTTTCGCATGTCCTCCAAACTGGGAAAAAGTCTCTCAGGAAGAGTTGCAAAATGTCAAAATGAAGATTTCGTCAGCCATAATCAACGTGTGTTCTGGCTACACTGGCTACGGGTGTTTGCAAATCTCACTCAAACACTCCAGGGTGGATAGCACTCAGAAACCTGGTCGGTGGTCAACCGTTTTAGCCAGTCTAATGTGCAAATGGTCGAACCATCTTCGGCACGTGAGGACCTGCAATACAGGTACTTTAAATCCCAGGAACAAGAAGCTACTAGGGGCTCCTGGCTTTACTAGTCAACTAGTGATGACTATTGACAAGTCCACCACCAGCAGCAGCAGCAGCACGCTGACACGCACCCCGTCGGCCCCGCTCATGGGTGGTCAACTCGGCCACGTCGATGTTGATCACAGGCTTCTGCAACTGGACGAACCTGCAGCGGAAACCGGAGTTGGCCTCGGAGTTTCCCATCAAACACGCATGCTAGAATTCCTGCATTGCCAATCCCAAACCAGCGGAGAGGTTCGCTCCCTCGGAGTCCCGACCCAATCTTCTCAGATGCATCCCAGTGTACAAGCTGCCCCTTGTGCCGCCGTTGGGCCTGACGCAAGCGACGCATTCCGTGAATGGCTTCAATTACTGTCGAATATTGTGGACTTCGCCATCGAAAAGGGTGTGATCTTCCTTGTCGTTCCCTCATCCTTGACCTCTTGCCTACAGTCTTCCTCCAGCATTTACCATGCCACCCCCAGCTTCCCTCTTGCGGAAAGCCAAGAGCAATTCTTGAAGCTTTGTCGGGCAAAACCCACTTGATCAAGAGACGTTCTTTCGCTTTTCTTGGCAAAGCCCCTCCACGACCGGCCTCCTTTGGCGAACGTGGCGGGATCATGGCGCCATGACAACGACACTCGAACTCACGGCCAAAAATGACACGGAAGTGTCTTGGAACGTGCAAAGGTTCTTTCTTCCCATTGAGATGCTTCAGATGCTTCCGTTTCCTGCAAAATTATGGTGAACCTTCAATCCAGAAGGATGCATTCACCAGAAAGTGAACATACAATTGCTGTGTCTCAAAATAGTGTGTTTATGTGTGTAGGTGGGTGGGTGAGCTCCATAACGATGTCCAAATACCCTTTGGTTCGTATAGGGGACATGTAAACTGTATTGTAGTACAACTTAGTCTTGCAATGGTTTAACAAATCAACTAGCTTGTTACTTGCCAAGGGCTTTTGAGTGGACACGGCTGAGGGCTGGCGTGAGAGAAACTTGCTGACTTGGTCAAGTCAGCTGTGGGAGAGTGACTCGAGAGGTCGCTAGTCGCTTGTCGCAAGTTGTACTCGAGAGGTCATGTGTTGTACAAAATGGGATTCTACAAACTCCAAATCCTATCAAAAGGATGGATCAAGGTATTCATTAAGGCATCAAGAGACCATCATCCCAGAAACACAAACGTCCAAAGACTTTAAAGGATGTCTAGAGGGGCTAGAGAAAGCACATACTAGGATTCACAACGGTGGCTTTTCTGCGATACATCAGCTGCAAAACGCTAGGCACTGAGCACAACTGCTGGCTCAAGGCGGTTTCTAGCGCATTCTCAAATGCATACTGAAATAGAGATACACAAGCCTCCAAGAAAGCTTTGGAGAAGCGAATGAACCGTTTAGAATTTAGAACAATACCCTTTTCTGAATACCACTTAATGGATGGTTCAGGACAAAGGGTTGTTTTGAGTAAACAAAGTGAAGTTGGGGTGTAGGATTGGGCTTCAACTTGCGACCGACTTTGGTTGATGTATTATAGTGTTCAAAACGTGGCCGCATCCATAACATATTGAAATGCGGATATTTAAAGCTCACAGGGACGGTGCGTGAGTAATTCTGCTGGAGGCAGCTGTGCACATCTTTGTGAGGGTTGCAGTTATGGTCTTTTGGCAGTCGGTTCAAGGCTCTATCATGACTGATCTGATACTCCTGCCGTGGCCGGAAAAATGAATTGGTGGGAAGATTCTGGTACCCTCAAGAATCACACAACCGGGAATGCTAGCAAGATCATGCGTCCCACTCTACAAGAGCTGCTCAATGGGAACAGTTGAACCGGAAGGTATCAGGAATTTCCCTGGCTTCAAACTGGCGGGCTCCAGTCGCGGACCGCTGGAAGAAGGGAAGAACCACCGCACACGGTGTCAAGCAACGCTTGCTGAGTACTACGCTCATAGAATCCAAGGGTTGCTACAAGATTCAAGTAGCAACAAAGGGCATCGCTACTAGTAGCAAGGACGCTACTAGTAACAATTTTAGCTGCAGAATTTCACCTCAAATACCCTGAAGCTCCCTAAAGGGGCTCCCTAAAGAGGGCCCTCTAAAGCCCTCGGAACTACACCGAGCCACACCGAGCTACTTGGGTTTCTTCCCTGGACCTTTGGGATCCTTTTGGTCCTTGTCCTTTGGGTCGAGCCGTCGCAGCTCAGCAACCACATCAGGAACGGCCTTGTGCGCATCCTTGGGATGGTGCAGTACAGAGTTTTCGAGAAAAAAAGAAGAGTGTTTAGCGTTTGACTTTGTTGAAAAGGCGTTTGCATGATATGCCCTGATATGGCTGTATGAGAATGAACTCGGGGTACAGTACTCTATGACGACAATGCAAAAGCTGACCCTCATGAACTCTGGTATCCCATATATAGGGGTGATAAATGTTTCTGTCCTTTTCCAGGCGACAACGGCCGCAGCTCGGATATGTCCGTCGCATTCTGAGTTTTCCTAAAAAATCTAGGAGCCAAATGAATAGTGCGAGCGCTTCTTCAAGGAAGCTCCCCCCACCGCCTTTAGAGGTCCTGTACCTAGATTACTTGTTAGCTACTAGCTACTACTAGCTACCTCTTCCCTCTACTAGCGGCCTACCCCCTAAAAATGTCTCGGCCAAAGTAGTGCTCGTTTCGCACTTCGTCGCCGGGCCATGAGCTCATCCATCTTCGCCTGCCAGGTCTTCCCCAAGGCCTGGCTGTGAAGCTTTGTGCACAGCTTACGAAAGGATTCCCTCTGAATATTCACATGCTACTAGTAACAAGTGCATCGCTACTAGTAACAAGTGCCTTACTAGTAGTAACAA